AATCCACAGACCTCTTGGTCTACTTAGGGAAGAAGGTGAAGGATGCATGCATATGAAAATGTAGATATAAGAGGAGGAGAAGTAGGAACGCATCCACAGAAAGATCACAAAATTTGTACAACAAGAAACGTGTAAAAGCGTTGTGAGTAAAGACTGAGCCGAAGTAACAATACCAGATAATGTACCTCAAAATGCCTTAGCTAGTAACTTACCTCTGGCATTCACCTAAATGCACTCACCTCTGAGGTGATAGTCCATTGCAGGGCTTTAGCAATTTTGGTATTGCAAGTAAAGTCAAGTCAGTTTATGAGTCCATTGGATGGTCATTTAGCCAACAGGCTGGTCAGCCGGCAAATTAGATAATGAACGGGATGGATGATTAAGCAAAAAGATGAATATCATGGAATGAACTTATAAATGAAGAAGAGAAAATATAGATGTAGCTATTTGATGACTACAACATGGTCATGCGGATGGATGGACAGGTACGTGAATATATGATTGGATGGTGCATACGCGGATAGGTACATTGGGACAATTAAAGGTAGGTGGATGATCGGGGGACGGGTACTAACGCATGTCTTAACTCAGCCTAAAAACCTAGTCAATAGTAGACTGGCTTCTGGACAGGCTTAAAGACCGGCAGCCAAATTGATTGGTTCAGTTACTCGGTGCATTGAGTTCATACTTCCTTCAGCACTTTGTCCGTAAACCCCATGATTGCTGCTTGGCAATGTGAATAACACAGCAGGATCAATTGCAAAATCTTATATTTAGAAATGGCAACAAACAATCAGCACTAGTGTTATATAGGTTGTGTTAAAGCCAGAATGTAGTAGAAAGGAGCATGTTTAATGTCAGTTGACTTCTCTACCACTACTAATACGATCATCCCCAGGGCTTGCCACGGTGCGGCATCACCACAGACGATCATGCGCACGGCGTCTTACATTGTGGCACCACCCATGATATCCATGCACTCATCTCACTACATTGTGAACCCTGTATAACATCAGTCCACGGTGCCCACTTCCACGGATAAGAACATGGCCAGCTGGTAAATCACATTTCTTTAACTATCTCTTTGCTTTCTTTAACACCCACTTTCCTGTTCAGATATGTAGCCTTTTATACCCTTCTCATCGTCTCCAAACTCTCCGCGTGACAATCCTGCTCCACGTGCTTCCATGCTGTTGATCATCTAATGATGGACGATGTCGCAAAAGGAGACTGAAGATATCAGGTGAGCAGATAGCAGGAATGCGCAGTATGAGAAAGGAAATTAGTGTCGTGCACACTCAGGACTGCGTGTCTTGAATTGTGCTGTATAACTCTTGCATGTGTGCTCTTCTGGATGCTAACGCCTAGCAGTGAATCAATTGCGCATTTGCTGTCGGAGATAGATACTTGTTAATGCGCAATTTTTACATCTTTGTATATCCTAATGCTATTTCTGCGGTCCCTATATGTACTAGATGGCACTCTTGCTAACACTCGCACACCCGCTCGCTTTAAACATTCAACCAAATTTGACAAGGCCATTTTACGTACTTAAACTGCAAAAAGAGAGGGACGACACGTTTGCTAAAGAATACGTGTGTTCAGCTAGAGCAATTCCAAACTCAGCAGTATCACTTGGTAGTAGGATGTAAGGTGACAAATGTTATACACAGTGATTTCTCACAGCAATGTCTAGCCACTGCATAAAGTTTAGTCATCTAATGGTGAACTGGACACCAGTTACAGGATGTTAATTGCAGTGCTGTTCATCAGCGTCTTCGAACTGATAAAAGAAGTTGGTGGTATCTGTAAGATTGTGAAAATGTGTCAAAAATGTATAGGTAGGGTTAAATGACCTAGTATTCAGCAGCTATCTAGAATAAGTAAAAGTTACTTATTGCCCTATCCTGAGTCGTGCGTCCTATGATTGAAGAAGGGAAAAGTCTATATAACAGTGGTCATTTATCGATGGCAAGTATAAAATGGCGGCGTTTTGTACCGTTTTTCTTGTTTCCATGATCTTTATACTTGACTGAGCAAGTCTGACAACTAACTATCATGAGAAGTGCATTCAGATCAACTTTTCCCACAACGGCCCAACTTGCAACCAAGGTATATCATAGTCTGGTAACTACAGCCGGACACTGCATGGATTTTGACGAATACAAAGAAAAGCGCACAAAACCATCCATTTCAATCTCCGCACTTACCATCATTGCGCTGCAGTCATCCCTTATCATGCCTGCAAACCAAAAGTAAATTGTGCGACACACCCAGTTTAATACATCAGCTCATCAGTTAAACAAGCAGAATCCAAGATCTAGCTGAGTGCAAAGAAAAATTAATATATCATAGAAGTCAGTACTTTTAATGCGTAGTACTATAGTATCATGCATCGAAGATACAACCATGCCCATGTATTCACCTCAAGATAAAGTGAGGTAAATGCATTTGAATCAATTGTCGATGCAGATGTTGTCAAAACTGATGGCAAACTTGTCATCATGCATGTAATTAATGCAACGATGACTACTTGCCAAACTTTTGTATCTCCGTACTCAGAACCACTAAATTGTATTAACATCATTTTTAGCATTAATACAAGGCATAACTTCTCTAATAAGTGTTTTTCGCCACCTTAGCTATGTTAGTCGTTGGCGAAGTGCACAAGTCTCCATTCACAAATGGCCTTCAACTTGTCCTATAGCACCGAGTAATACTGTCATCGGACTATCGAGAACACCATCTAGGCCCTGACAAGACCATCTAAATCATTTCGTGATAGTGCCTACTCCCTTTAACAAGATATACGGGTATATCGTTTAGCCCACTTTCTGAGGAACCAACATTTACTATCCCTCTGTGGATGAGTTTCGGACCATTTGCACTTCACTTCACTTCACACTAGAACGTGTGTCAAGGGCCAGGACTAACAAGGACTGATGTGCAAACACAAGGGAATGTGAGAAAGGAGACATCGGGAAAGTGGTGGTAAAAGGCTGACATCAGACACCATGCGACAGTCAGTAGGTGTCTATGCTACAGTACAAACAAAAGTGAAGCAAAAAGGGTGAAAGTGGAATCGCTAATGAAAATTGATCCTGGGTGACAATGTTTGGTGAAAGAAGAACATGAAGTCGATGAGTAAGGCCTCGGTGTGTAGATGAGACGTAAAAATTGAAACTTCTACGATCACGCTATCACCACTATGTCCACCGTTCTAATATCTGCTGCGTCACCAGAGAGTGCTTCCCCACCGCATTCACCTT